TTTCGATGCCCCCCCTCGAAGTTTTTAAAATTTTCAATGCCCCCCCTCTAGAATTCGGAATCGAAGGAGTACATTCCGGAATTCTCTCTTATCATAGATACAATTTGCAGTTCCTCAAGATGTCTGATATACTCAAGTGCTTCTCCTCAACAAAACTACCGATCTGCTGCTTCTTTCATCTCACTAGCGCCAGATGAAATGGCACTGTCTTTAAAACATTTTAAATTGGCTCTAGGGGTGGAATTATTAACAGGTTGTTGTTGTCCATCATTGAGCGTATTCGGAGTCTTGAACACGTTCATGTAGTGGCCAGGATTTCCTGGATCAGGGTAATGTGCTGGAACCTTACAGTATGTTGCCCCCACCCAACGTATCTCCCGGCATCTGTTGCAAATGTCTTTGCATGCCTGTCAAAAATGCATGCAAAAGTGCCAGTATGCTTCAATTCTTTAACTGAAATCGGTTTCGAATACAACCATCAGGGACGTAGCAAAGCATCTGACGTTTGGGGTGGGGGGAGGGGGAATGTCAGAGGATTATACATGTAATAATTATAATAAAGCTTTTTGTGATTGATTGGCACTCTTATACTAAGTTTTGGGAGAAAAGGGGGGTCTGGGGGTCCTCCCCCAGAAAATTTTTACATTTTCGAAGCTCTAGGACTGAATTTCTGGCATTTTCTAAAGCTAATTTCGCAAACAAATTGCACGTAAATTGACTGTATTTTACAAAAATGGTTATCATTTCACAAAAATAATTACTTTATTACGCAAATTTTACCTGAAACTGATGTAAAAATTTTAACTTTAATTTGCTGGGGTCAAACCTTTGAAAAGTTTAGAGCCCCCCCTTCAGTATATCAAGAACTTTCAGAGCCCCCCCTTTAATGCCAGAAAATATTTCGGAGTCCCCCCTTAACATCTTCATCCCCCCCCCTCGGCATAATAAATGTACTTTCCCTAACATAAGCATATTCAAAATTTCTCCACCAACATAAGCAACGCTTCCAATTTCTTCACCACAAACATAACAAAAGCTTTAAAATTGTTAAAATTGCAAACCATTTCATCAAATGGTTTTGGTTGTGAAGGCTTAATATTTGAAACTGGTCAACGTAAATATTAATAATTACCACAAATAATTTTGGCAACCCCCCTTTCATGCTGAAAACACTTTAAAGGCCCCCCCTTCTAACCATAAAATGTTTTGGCAACCCCCCCTAATTTTACTCCAGCCCCCCTGGTCCTTAATTAATGAACCGTCCCTTAGAACAGGCTTAAAATTTGGAATAAAATATTTGATTGTCACTTGTCTTCCTACTTTAAAACATATAAACTTCTCGACAAGGCGCCGAGGAATGCTCTTGACAAAATTGATATATAAAACTGTTCCTTATAAATTCATATAAATATTATAAAAGTAGTCTCAAGGTATTTTAAAACTATTTAAACCTCAGTACGCTTTTGTTCACAATGTAGCTGCTTCATTTCTTCAAATTTCCTGAGAATATTCGTCCAGTAACAGTAATTCTTGTATATTTTGAGTTGAATTTATATGGAAGTAGCAAAACGAGCTCGTGTTGATAAACAAAGTCTGAGGCTCTCCACTCCTTCAGAGTTGTAAATCCCGTTTCGCGGCGTTATAAAGCCATAATACTCCAAATTTTTTACTCAAAATTCTTCTTGTATGCTTCTATCTTTGTGATTGTAAAATTGGCCCGGTCGGAAACGTAGCCAAGGCAAAAAACGCGAAAAACTACCGTCTGTAATACAAATCTATACAAAAGTAGGGCCCCAGAATCAGCCGTTTCGCTATTTCTAAATGGGTACGTAGCTGGTATTCTAAATTTTAGAATGCGGGTAGTACTCATGCTAGGTATATACCCGTGAGCATCCTAATCCCAACCCCCAACCCGACCCTAACCTCTAACCCCTAACCCCTAGAACCTAACCCCTAGCCCCTAAAACCTAACCCCTAAAGGGGTTCCCCTTTTCGACAATAGTCTATTGTTTTACTAGTCTATGTTTCAATAGTCTAGGTCGCTTGTGAGATCGAGTAAAGTTGTGTGATTAAAATTTGCAAGCTAAACTACATTGGTCTGTTAATTTATAATTAAGAATTGTGGTAATAACACGGTTTTCATTGTTTTGACTGTTTTCATAATTAACTGAAATGTTTCACTTCTTATTGTCTCAAGCGTTTCAAGATTATCTAATTTCTTAATTACTGATTCAAAATTTAGATCTTTACCGGGGTTTCCAAACTCATGCACGTGACAAAATGCTTGTGTTTGATTGGTCTATTTGCTTTCTTTGCTAAATTACTTTCCTACTATGTTTATCCTAACCCACCCTGTAAACTTTCCCTGTGGGAGGAAACCGAAGCGCTCGGCGGGTACCCACGACTTTCGGCAGAGCGTTGACAAACTCTTTTCACATGAGTACGTAGCGGGAATCGAACCCACAATCTCAGAGGTGAAACACGCTTGCACCGACGACTGCGTCACCGAAACCCAGTATAATCTCTCCTCAAATTGTTGGAAATCGCATTCCAGAGAGCATGCCCTTTTAAGGAACTTCTAGAGTAATGCGCGATGTGGGCGCAGCAAACGCAAAACGTCAGTTCGCAATATTTGCATAAATTGCGTGCCATTGCTTGACGTTGATACAGCGTGTTTCAGAACCGAAAATATGATGAATATTACAAACGTAACTAAGGGAAAGAACATTTTTTTGTAAGATATGTCGTGTGAACTAAAATAATTGTTCCTACTGTTTTAGTCTGTAAATATGAGTGCAAAAGTATTGCTGTAGTTAGAGTGTCCCAGTGTTAGAGTTCATGCTAGAGATTGTTGGCGCGTTAAAGCTAGAGAATGTTAGAGTGTTATGTTAGAGTGTTATGTTAGAGTGTTATGTTAGAGTGTTTTAAGATTGTTTTAGAGATTCGGTATATGGAATGTATGTAATATTGGCTAGATTGATTAATTGTAAAAGATTGTTGGAATAAACTAAAATTAGAAGAACGAAATACAGTCCCAGTGGTTTGTTGACTGAACCAGCGAGCGGAAATTCTTATAATATAACCGAACTTGGGGGAAGAATTTACAACATGCCCCTGGACCCCACTGATTGAAAGAATAGTGAGTTTACTGCCGTGAATTTAGATGTTATTTACCCAAGCATACCTATCAGAAAATGCAGGAAGTAGTCCAAGGCATTTAAAACTCGCTTCAAAATTTTCTTAGGGAAGTACCCTAACCCGGCAATGGATACTTTGCAATTATGAATAACTCGTGCACCATTTTTAGTTAATTTCCAAAAAAAATTGGATATAAAAATATACATTCTTTCTTTGGTATTGTAGTGTGGCTCAAATGAGAATTTGTAATGCTTTACATCTCTGCAAGCCATTCGGAAACATTAGAGAAAAGTTGGTCCCTGAACAGAGGACACCCCCAAAAGATGTGCGACCGTGGATCTCCAGTAACAGACGTAAAGGCTGCAAAACTAGACATCGTCTCTCTATGAAAGCCACGTCGGTGAAGTGTTTTCTAGAAGGAAATATTTGACGGTGCTAATACACTTGTCGCAAGGTTTATACCGCACTTTTGGTCTTGAAAAAATGTAAGTTTTGAAACATTGTTGATTCAAAGAAACTTTATAATAGACACGTTGTTTTGAAGCTTGGCAGTTCTAATCAGTTAATGCTTTGATAAATTCTAGATAAAAATAGGCTTGTGAAACAAAGTGTTCGATACCGGAATGAACAGAACAGGTGCTAGGTACGGGTGGACTAAAACTCTAGTTTTAATTTTATTCCCTTATGGTAAAAATACGGTAAAAATACCGCTAATAAAATCTCTGCTGAAATGAACAATTCCAAGTCACACATGTGACATGATGTATAATTTTAATCACTGTAGTAAAAAATTCACATTATCAACTCACAACAAGGTCTAACCGCAAGTTCATGTATACAGCTATTTCAATTAAGGTTGTCCCCCGACGGCCCCGAACAAAGCGGAAAAGTCGAATACGAGCGCGAAAGCCTGCTGGGAATCGCTAATAAATGAGTGAATTTATTAGCGATTCCCAGCAGCATTTCGCGCTCGTATTCGACTTTTCCGCTTTGCTCGGGGGACAACCTTAATTGAAATAGCTGTATATACTTTCCTCCGCAGAGGCTTTTATTAGAATTAATTAATTTAGAAAGAATTTTGTAATTGCGCTAGAAGGTAAAAACGATGAAAGTAACGGCGCCCACGCATCGTCAGAGAATAGACATCCTGCATGTCAGAACATAGACAATGCAGAAGATGTCTTCTGGATCGTCTATGGTCAGAGGGCCTAAATATAGTCGCATTTTTTGCAGCTGCTCCTATGTAAATGTATCAATTAATATTTACACTCGACTTCCATCCACAAAATTCTTCAACATATTGTCCGTTATCGGCAGTAATTATCGGGCAAGGTTTTGGGGTGTATAATTTCATAATCTATGTGCCAATTTTTAATACCTGACAGGATAGTGAAGAGATGGGCGTCGAAATGATATATACCTTTGATAACTTTACATTTATCGTATCAAATTTGCGATGGTTTAGAACAATATTAAAAATGCGTACGTGTAAACTAGACTTTTACAAATTTTATTCTGTTCTTGCAAACGTGTTTCCGCATAAACGTTTCACTTTCACTGTCTGGCACGAGTTAATCTTCAACAGGCAGGATGTTGTTGTTAGAGTATTGTCTGAACAAAATTAAATTGATTAAACTGATCTTGAAAGAACATTTGCTGGTGACTCCGCCTATTTACGTCAGAATGCGGCAATTGAAATGGAACTCGTGAAAGGACGGAACTGATCTAATATCGTTACGACACAAGTATATCCGGACACAATGTTGATGTAGACGATATCAGGCTAAACCAAGCATAAAAGGCCATAAAAGGCAGTAGTGAAACAATCCTGTACCAAAAGTGACTGAATACTGAAGAGCAAAATGAATTCTCTTGTACAAATCACGATAGTCTTGACTGCCTTGGTAAGTTTGTTATTCCGCGTCAAAACTTTATTAACGTCCCATTATAAAATTTGGATTTTTTATTTATTACTTCTTTTAACAGTGCATAATAATATACTGTTGACTTTGTTATTTAAATATTTTTCAGTTATTGGTGGAGAATACTGACGCTCGAAAAGGTAATTGGAAAGCATCATTTCGAACTTTCAGTTCTTTACACTGTTTATCAGTTTCCCGCATGAAATGAATATTTCACTTAGTATAATACTCAAGCCGAATAGTATGAGAAAAATCAGGGGTGCATGACTTTATAATATGGTAACTATAGGTTTACTTGGCTGCATGCATGTAGCTATATATGCATGCTAACTATACGGTGAGTTGCACTCAAATGAGACAGCGCCGCATATAATTATGGAGGCGCAGATATATATATTGGCGAAATGCAAGGGAGCAAAAACTGAATTGCGCAATTATATAGAATTTACATATACAAAATCATACAATAAACAAGATAACAATACTCAATGAAAATAGATTAGTAAATCGAAATCAACTAGTATAATTTTACATCGCTAAGTCACTGTGTCAATTAAACTAATTAACCTTGTGTAAATGCAAATATTTGACTCATTCGCATTCCCGTACCATGTGTCAAAACCACTGATCTGAAATAAGACTGGATAAAGCCTCCTATTGAATTCAGTAATCAGATTTTGAGGGCCAGAATATTTTAATGAGATTAGACCTATAAATCAGTCAAATCACAATCAAATTCATGACCCGAGTCTAATCGTTTGCTGTTTAAGCCTGCTTCGCCAATGTGACTTGTGAAATATAGCTTCTAAAACCTCTTCGAAGTAGTTTTAGAACGTTTTATACACCACATAATGAGGCTTATGAGTTATGGTGGCCATGCATATTTGATGGCCCCATTAGTTATTCACCGGCAAATTTAGGAAAAAAGAGAGGCTACTGATGATAAATTCTTATCTAGGCAACATTTGTCATTCCCCACTACTCGCTAGTGACTAGAAACGTAAAGGAAGAGTTACATGTCTACGACACCAGATTAGATGAATGGTGGGGCCATCCAATATGGCCGCCATTGGCTTCACTTATGCACAGCAGATGCTTTATCCAGTCTTATTTCGGATCAGTGCATGTAGAATATAAACAAATGTAGAATAGAAATGATACGAAAAGTATAAACCTTCTTTTCGGCGTTTCAACGGCTGAAAACCATGTTGTTATATGCACAGGAAGAGCATTGGGTTTTGGTGGCGGTTTCTCTGAGGCCTCTGAGACTGATCATGAGATCGTGGGTTCGGTTCTCGCCGAATCATTGCATTTTTTCATGCACCCATTCTATACATATGCACGTCCACAGTTCAGTTGCGATATAACTTATAAGGTAAAGGACGCGAACAAGTAACAACTGAAAGCCATGTTCTCTTTTGTCAAAGCTCAATAACAACACTTGACAGTTGACATACTTGACATAAATGAGCAATATCAATATTGTACACAACACACTGCAAAATTGCAAATCAAACTTTAACTAACATATCTGAACCTGTAAAAGGTACCGGTGTAATAGAATATAGTTACAGTATATTTAAATTCCTATCCATGGCGTCAGCTTGAAATTCCCGCATAATATAAAATAATTATAAAAAAAGAGTCATACATACTTATGCTGTCGGGTCAAACCTCGGATGAAACAAACGCCGCGCCGGTGTGTTATTCAAAGTCTCTAAGTCTCTAAGTTTTGGAACTTGTTCGATTTTTAAGTACTTCCAAGGTTGTCTCTACACCAATCTCAAATTTTTGGCAAAATATTTCTGGAAAGCAGCTCCTTGTGGTAATTTTCCTTTCAGATTTTATGACAAAAAACGCTGATTGAAATATGATAAAAAAGATGATTATTGAGTACTGGTGTTGCCCAGTTGCTCTGTAGGCTGTACTGCAGCACAATAACTTATACCGCCAGATTAGGCTTTATATATTAAATAAAAGAGCAACTGCATGTATTATGCAATTGGTAAAACACAACCTAGATCTAGGCCTTCGAATTTATATTAATTTCTGCTCTTTTTCCACATGAGAAGACTATGACTGTGGGACACAGGCGAGGTCATGCGTACCAAATGCTAGTCCAAAATTGACCAAACTTGCCAAAACCAGGCGAGTAAAGTGTCTAGGTCTGGGGGACTCAGGGCTGAGTAAAATTTCAGTCCATCTCTTCGGTGAAATTCAGAAGCAAGCCTTTATTGTTTAATGCTAATTAAAATTACTTATATTGAAGAACTTTCTGTTTCCGGTTGATATTAATGAATTAAAAAGGGTTATGATGCAGCGCGGTGGCACACGCTTCTTGATGTGACAATGTGAAGATCCTGTATTTCCTCCGCCCACATGCACACTTGTCACAAAACGTGGGTGAGGGAAATAATATTCATTCAAATTTTATTCTAGCCGGCTAATAGGTCAACAATCCCCGGATGGCGGATAATTCAGCTGTCGCGATATATCAGCTGCTGACGTAATCAAACTCGTATGTTTGGTTCAGTTCAATGCCTCGTACCCAGGGCCTACTCGCCCGAATATTTTAAATATTGCGGCGACAGCGGCCGAGGGCGAGCGAGGGCTTATTATTATTTTGATATCACGCAGTAATATATTGTAGTCACCTAATCCTAGCCCCATTCCTAAAGTCCCGCACAGACAAGCAATTTTTTCTTGACAAGTTTCTTGTCAAGTTTACTTTCTCGTTTGCATGAAAAACAATTTTTTTATCAATTTTTCCTTGACTGTTTCCAATATAATCTTAGGAACTTTGAAATGAAATTAAATCTACCCAAGCCACGAACTAATTATCTGAAGTGAAGCTTTCAGTACAGTGGAGTAGTGCTGTGGAATAGCCTTCCCGAAAATATAAGAATGCTCCAATCGTTTGCTCAGTTCCGGAAAGCTGTAAACAAGTATTATAATAGTTTAGATGAACTCACACACGGCAATCTTGTAAACCAGTAGATCATATTCTTTTATTTATTTTTGCATGCTTAAGAGGGAATCTCCACTATCACCGAGCAACTGGTGGCACATGATGAAAAATGAAATGTTTTCTTATTTTGTCCAGTGATACACTAATGTATACTTAGAAACGTGATGGGGTTTGTTTTCTGAAATATTATTTTAAACGCCGAAAAATTATCAAAACCTGACATGTACCCAAGATTCGTGAAATTAGCTAAAAACATAGTGAGTCATAGTCTCTCGAAAACTTCGTTTTGCTCAGTTCGCGTCTTCAGGGAACCTCACTTTCGGTTTTTAAACGTGTATATAAGATGTTTATAAACAACGATAGTCTATTTTGGAATCTTTTAAATAATGTTTCAAAGTCAAGGCAAGCGTGTAAAAATCGCCTTATTTTGCGATCCAAAAAATTCTAAATTGTTACACTTTTTGAAAATTAATTTTCCGTATCCGGGAAAACTCCAATTTCCTTGAAATTTAGGGAATTTAAAGAGAAACTGTTGCTCTAAAAGCCGATATAAAAATTATTTTGGGGCTTTTTGTTACCGCGGAATTATACTGACTATAATATCGGGGAAATCACAAGAAAAACCTTAAGTTAAAAAATTTTAGGTTTGGTACATTTTTTGAAAATCAATTTTCCCTTTCCGGTAAAACTCCGATTTCCTTCAAATTTAGACAAATGTATGAGCAAATGTTGCCCTCAAATCTGGTGTAAATAATATTATGGGGTGTTTTGTTATCACGAAATTATAATGTCTATAATATACGGCCGATTATGTAGACAGACACTTATAGACAGGCAGTTCGTCTAGACACAGTCTGCTCAGATAGACTGTCGAAGCGTGAGGATTTATACTTGTTTTCTCTTGTTATTTGGTTTTGACAGATAAATTATAAATTATTTTAAATTATTTTGCTTGTTTATCGGGATTTTAGAGAAATAAATAGTCAATATGATTATATGAACATCATTACATCATGTTGCAAAAGCTCCGTGCGCGTGACTTGACACATAATAATTAATAGACAAAAGTCGACAGTTATTGATAGCCTGCTTTAAATCCACTACTAAAAGTCTCAATAGCTCGTAAAAGCAATCCGTATTATCTACTTTTTTCAAACTGAAATATATGTGCTTAGTTTTCTCTGAAGTAGTCGCATAAATCATTGAGATTAGGGCTAGATTTTATTAAACTCGCGATGTGACTACAATGACAATGTCAATGTAATTAGCAGACCTCTCAACTTTGCAGAGAAGTTAAGAGTGAGATTGGGGATGTGGATGGCACCTTTGTAAAAGTCCGGGGGTCTGAAATGGCATTTCGTACATTATATGAGAGTTCGTGTTTATTAATCGGAAATACATAATGATAACGTCCTTTAAGACAAGGCACTTTAGTTACAACAAGACGCCTGCTCAGGCGTTCACACTGGCCTTAGCGGTTGGTAAAACAGTAAAATACCATCGCAATATTCTAAAAAATAGGTACGTAGTGCTTACATGTTGCATGCCATCAAAACCATGAAACCTCACGACTCAGAATACTATACAGAAATCATGGCCATCTCCATTGTTTTCTGTGTACGTGCTATTTGTCATGATTTGTCAGTCGGCACGTACAGTAAACAGAAGCAGTTACCCCCTGGCACTGAACAAAGATACACAGAAGGTCGATTAGAGCATAGTCCAAAACATGGTCTGGAAACTCAGTAAACTTCAAAGCGGTTATAATGAGCTGGGATTTTACGTTGAGCCGTACCTTAAACCATGTACATCCTTTGTTTTAGGTTTATTAATATTTAACTAACATGGTTGAATGACTGAATTGAAACGTCGCTGTTGGATGATTCGTTCATTATACTGAAATACAATGTGTTCATAATTGACTGTGCACCGTGCACAAAACTGCATAAACGCAAAACAAAAAGATAGAACAAAGACTTTAGCGGTGTTTCCAAACCATGTTTTGAAAGACTGTAATTAGAGTAAACGCTGCCACATCCCAACCAGTGCGCACCAAAGAGGCACGCCCCCCCCCCCCTCCCGCTGGACGTCTATCATTTTGAATATTATAAGGGGGGTAAATGCCTCCCAAAAGCGCACCAGCCAGGACCATGACGTCAGCATTTTGATGATGAATTACGGTCACGCCAAAATCATTGGAAAACCATAAGAAAAACCAATAAATTGGGCTTCTGTATGACCGACCCTGTGCCCTGGTAATGATGCGCGACCGCTTATAACTTTTGGTACAACTGATCTGAAACTTAAAATATTGATTCAATAACTTTAAGATCAATATATTGTTTGAAAAATAGCTATTATGTCAAAATTAGAAAACTTAAGATTCTCACGCGAATAAGCAATGTTTTTATGAGCGTCTGTTCATCATTAGTTGCCAACGACGGTAATATAAACAAGGTCAAGGCAGGTCAAGTTTGTATCGAAAGCGATTGACTGTTAGATTTTCTTTTATACTATTTTATAACTAAAAAATGTTATTTCCTACAAATTTAGCTTTATTGTAGCTTTAGTAAAGGTATAAAAAAAACTGGAAACGGTGAATTACTATAGATCGAAAATAATTATTAAACTATGATTGAAATTATCGACGTAGAATGCTATATTTCGTTGTATTAAATTTCAATAGTGTATAAATACATTAAATAGTAATACATTTGACATCCGTAAGTACAATTTCTTATGCTGAATCAAACGGTGGTATTTTTATCCTTATTGCGCCATTAGACATTACAAATACAAAGACAAACGTAGTGCGAGTGATTTGTTATAAATAATACATTAGGGTCATTCCATTTATTATCCGCACCCCCCCTATGGATGAGCGGATTCCTACCGGTCAGATATTAGGACTTAGGGACCGCTCATTATTTATTGTACAGGGGGGGACTGAGGAGAAACTCTACAGTTATAATATTTTTTCGTTGCCCCCCTCTTAAGACAAGTAAAATTTTCAAAGCCCCCCCCCCAACAAGCAAAACAAGAACATAAGTTTTGCCCCCCCCCCTCTAGCTCTTTATCTTTATTTAGAGAAACAAAAACTCTAGCTGTTTATTTTAGAGAAAGAAAAATAGGTAATGGGGACCAATAGACATTCCCATTATAGACTAATTTTTTATCTTAGCAAACTGAAAAGTATATTCCCGGGAAGGGCATACTAAAATTAGTAAAATTCCAAAGTTTGGTTGCAAAATGTTGTAAAATATGTAGAAAATATAGCCTTCCAAAGTTTGCAAATTTTGTATTCTTTTGTATAATTGCAATTTTCGCATGCAATACAAAAGTGTACAAAATTTGCAAACTTTGCAAGGCTATATATTATCCGTATTTTGCAACAATTTGCAACCAAACTTTGCAATAATTTACTTATTTTAGTATGCTCTTTCTAGCTGTGGTGATTTATTTGCATCAAGGCCGGATTTTGAGGGGAGGTGTGGAGAGGTGCGCACCTCCCCAGAGATCGTTTTGCACCTCCCCTGAGAATTTTTCCACCTCTCTTGAAAGGTCATGCACTTCCCCTTGGGAAAGTTTCAATGATGGAACAAAGTAAAAATGTGATGGTTGCTTAGGATCTACACTTTGTGACGTAAGAAAGTTTTCTCTGTAAAATTGAAACAGTGATAGCCATGTCAAGCACCCTTTTAATGCAATGTTTTGAAAGGAACAGTGTAGCAATTGTAATGAAGGGCAAGATTGGAGTCATACATTCATAATTCATTAATACACTGGTACATATTATGTACACTACATGTATATCTCACCTCGTTGATATTGGCCTGTTCTACAATAGGCCCTAACTTTCCATGGGAGTTGTGAGCTAGACCGCTGCACCTCTCCTAAAATTTTTGTCCACCTCCCCCACTATTTTCACCAAAATCCGGCCTTGATTTGCATCTCTTTGCCTAGTTCTAAAATTAGTCTATAATGGGAATTGTCTATTTACATGAACATGAGAGACTTTTTATTTGACTTCCATTTATGAATATTATAGTCTATAAATATTGTTATTTGTTGTTAAGTTGTTTTGTGATACATTTTTAAAACTACTGTTTTTTCAAACTGGTAAATATTTTCAAAGCCCCCCCTCTTTCGTCTCTCTGTATTTTTTCAAAGCCCCCCCTTTCAGGTTTTGAAAAATTTAAAGGCCCCCCCAGTTTCTCCTCAATCCCCCCCTGTACAATAAATAATGAGCGGTCCCTTAGGGGATTCCTACTGGTCAGATATTGGGAATTAACAGATTCCTTTGGCCCGATTCCTACCGGTCAGATATTGCCGTCAAGGTGTAGCATACTATATTGCCAAATATTTATTATGAGAATCATAATAATTTCATTTATTATTCTCACACCCCCCCCCGTCTGACATTGGGAATTAGCAGATTCCTACCGGTGAGATATTGGCAATTAGCAGATTCCTACCAGTGAGATATTGGCAATTAGCAGCATTCCTAGGGTTTAGATTGATACTGTCGATTTAACCTGAAGTTCAGGCCCTAATTTGAAATAGGGCCTGACACAAAACCTGTCTAGACCGTGGGACGCCCACATGTTATTTTTAGACACAACATGCAATCACGTGATGCAATATGATTGACAAGTGTTATAGATTTCGTTACACAAAAAAATTATATTCTCATGAACATGTCCGCAGAGTGTGCATTTTGCTTTATAATTAAACTTAAAAATCCAAGGTACTTTTATATAAATAAGATTCAGACAAAGATTTAATTAGTCAGTTCTGTGCACGGCTAGACTGCCAAGCTTTCTCAAGGTCTCAACTTGCTGGACGCGGATATTAGGGATATACTTTATTATTAAAACGGGCTAACAACAGCAACAATGAAATTCCCAATCGTACCACGAAGAAGGCGATGTAGCTCAGAAAACAACGCCGGTAGGACCTGATATTAAAAATAAGACTTTTGCCGGCGAAGCCAGTTGGCAAAACATCTTGGCTGTCAACAACAAGCTTTCGAATACATGACTAGTTTGGCTGTTCTTTCGGCGTCGTGTGTCCAAAATTCGTCCAAGATTTTGATAAAGCCCTTTCAAAATACTGTTTGTTTGATTTATTTTCTGCCATAAAGCATAAAAGAAAAAGAAATTCGAAGAAATCGATAATGGAATTTGTACGTGCGTTTGACCTTTATATTAATTGTCGCCTTGACCGAGCTATTTTTAAAACTGTTGTTTATGTAAACTTGCAACCAATCAAAATCCTTCATGATGCTGATCAACCAATCAGATTTCCCGTCCACCAGGTGGACGGGAATCTCACACTTTAGATAGGTTTTGTGTCAGGCCCTATTCTGTGATTAGGGCCTGAACTTCAGGTTACTGTCGATTCCAACAGGGTACTTCTCTGAAATCCGATTCCTACAGGTAACATTTTTACCAGAGCTCATCCATAGGGGGGGGTGCGGATAATAAATGGAATGACCCTTAATACATACTGCGAGCGATTTGTCAATACAATTTCGCTTGATTTTCAAAGGCCATAAATCGCTAGAATACTGGTGTTCAGTAATACACTTGACATCCGTAAGTACAATTTCTTTATACGCTGAATCGTACGGTGTCGCTTTCTTCTCAAAATATAGGAATTGGTTTATAAATCATAGTGAGCATGTGTAATGTGATAGCTAAATTCACTGAGCTATAATATTACAGTAATATTATTATAGCTCAGGGGCTAAATTGCGCAATCCTGAGCCCACGATGCCGCAATGGAAAGTCACACTTGCGACAACCAAAAAAAAAAAAAACCCGAAAAAATTCCTCGCATTCCAGCGAGGGCAAATTATAACACTGGCTGCGGCCAGTGTAATAACTGTATTTCTGCGACATACAGTAATGAGCTTTAATTTGCCCTTGATAATTTACATATCAGGGCTGTAGGAAGCTTTTTTTATTTATTGGGGGGGGGGGGGGGG